GTATATGATGCTGTAAAGCTATACTTGTGACAGATGCAGGTCTGTATTTGGAGTTAAATGCATTGCAAAGGATGTGGCAAAACTGAGGACCAAATAGCTCTATAGCTAAGTCACCCAGCTAGAGCTGGACTCAACACATTTGAAAACCCTGACCAGGTAAATAATTGAGTGTGCATATGTGTGAAAGTATTCATGTGTGTGAAGGTGTACATGTTTGTTGTGTTACATGTGTGTGAAGGTGTACATGTGTGTGAAGGTGTACATGTGTGTCAAGGTGTGCATGTGTATGAAGGTGTACAGTGTGTGAAGGTGTATATTTTGTGAAGGTGTACAGTGTGTGAAGGTGTACAGTGTGTGAAGATGTACATTTTGTGAAGGTGTACATGTGTGTGAAGGTGTACAGTGTATGAAGGTGTACATATGTGTGAAGGTGTACAGTGTGTGAAGGTGTACAATTTGTGAAGGAGTACATGTGTATGAAGGTGTACATGTGTGTGAAGGTGTACATGTGTGTGAAGGTGTAGAGTGTGTGAATGTGTACAGTGTGTGAACATGTAGTGTGTGAAGGTGTACATGTGTGTGAAAGTGTACATGTGTGTGAAGGTGTACATGTGTGTGAAAGTGTACATGTGTGTGAAGGTGTACATGTGTGTGAAAGTGTACAGTGTGTGAAGGTGTACATGTGTGTGAAGGTGTGCATGTGTATGAAGGTGTACAGTGTGTGAAGGTGTACATTTTGTGAAGGTGTACATGTGTGTGAAGGTGTACAGTGTATGAAGGTGTACATGTGTGTGAAGGTGTACAATGTGTGAAGGTGTACATGTGTCTGAAGGTGTACATGTGTGTGAAGGTGTACATGTGTGTCAAGGTGTGCATGTGTATGAAGGTGTACAGTGTGTGAAGGTGTACATTTTGTGAAGGTGTACATGTGTGTGAAGGTGTACAGTGTATGAAGGTGTACATGTGTGTGAAGGTGTACATGTGTGTCAAGGTGTGCATGTGTATGAAGGTGTACAGTGTGTGAAGGTGTATATTTTGTGAAGGTGTACAGTGTATGAAGGTGTACATGTGTGTGAAGGTGTACATGTGTGTCAAGGTGTGCATGTGTATGAAGGTGTACAGTGTGTGAAGGTGTACATTTTGTGAAGGTGTACATGTGTGTGAAGGTGTACAGTGGGTGAAGGTGTACATGTGTGTGAAGGGGTACAGTGTGTGTGAAGGTGTACATGTGTGTGAAGGTGTGCAGTGTGTGAAGGTGTACATATGTGTGAAGGTGTACATGTGTGTGAAGGTGTACATTTGTGTGAAGGTGTACATGTGTGTGAAGGTGTACAGTGTGTGTTAAGGGGTACATGTGTGTGAAGGTGTACAGTGTGTGAAGGTGTACGGTGTGTGAAGGTGTACATTTTGTGAAGGTGTACATGTGTGTGAAGGTGTACATTTTGTGAAGGTGTACATGTGTGTGAAGGTGTACATTTGTGTGAAGGGGAACATGTGTGTGAAGGTGTACAGTGTGTGAAGGTGTACATTTTGTGAAGGTGTACATGTGTGTGAAGGTGTACATGTGTGTGAAAGTGTACAGTATGTGAAGGTGTACATGTGTGTGAAGGTGTACAGTGTTTGAAGGTGTACATATGTGTGAAGGTGTACATGTGTGTGAAGGTGTACATTTGTGTGAAGGGGAACATGTGTGTGAAGGTGTACAGTGTGTGAAGGTGTACATGTGTGTGAAGGTGTACAATGTGTGAATATGTACAGTGTGTGAAGGTGTACATGTGTGTGAAGGTGTAGAGTGTGTGAATGTGTACAGTGTGTGAATATGTAGTGTGTGAAGGTGTACATGTGTGTGAAAGTGTACAGTGTGTGAAGGTGTACATGTGTGTGAAGGTGTACAGTGTGTGAAGGTGTACATATGTGTGAAGGTGTACATGTGTGTGAAGGTGTACATTGTGTGAAGGTGTACATATAGTTGAAGGTGTTCACTCATCAAGGGGGATCTCGTTTTCTCCTCCCACTTTTAACACCGATCTAAGGCCACAGACCTAAACACATCAATTAGCTTTACTCATTACTTACAATATAAATATATCATAAAAAAGTAAAAGCCACAGGGATAAAAACGTTTTTCCCAAACACATTAAGTGAACCACCGAATAAAGGGTTTCTTAGATTAGCTGAGAAAATTGTATTTCATCAAAAATGTAATGCCAATAAATTACTAATCAGTAAATAATCGCCGACCGCAGTATACATTGCATATAATATATGCTAGTTTGTGATCTTGGTGAAACATTTTAATAAACATGCGATTGAAAAAATTACTGTGTTGACTAAGAATTAAATATTCTTTGTACATTGTTTGGAATCAAAAACAATATTTGTCGAATAGTTAAACAAAAATATTCTACTAGGTTGTCGTTGCTGACCATCGAACCCCGTGCCTTTATTTTCTGTTGGCAAACTTTCCCTTGACAATACAGGCAGTCGTAATTTTCCTTATTGTTACCCCTATTTCTTCCGCAAGATTATATACTAAAGCAATACTGAAACAATTATATATATAAAGGCTATTTACCAGTGGGTTTTTTTATTTGCTGCTTCAAAAAATAAACTAACTGCTTCTAAGCCTGCTTACCCCGTGCCAGACCTTCTTATGAGAACATTTACTGTAATTTCAAAATTAAATTCTATGCCGGGTTTTAGTTTCAATTTTTTATGAGTTAAGAGTAAACACCACTTAACATAACATCTAGTGTTTGAACTTAATATCAGACCCACAGGAAATCATTCTAAAACACTGGATTTTTATAATTAGGCACCAGTTACTTCGTGGACCAGTGTGTATGGGCGGCCGTTTTAGGATAAAATACATAAACTATTTAAGTGCAAAAACACCAAATGACCATTATGTACTTTTTAAACTTAAGTGTAAAAGATTTCCACTTAAGTGTAAAAAAAAGTTTTTGCACTTAAGTAGTTTATGTATTTTATCCTAAAACGGCCGCCCATAAGTGTGTCTGTGATATGTTATTAGTCTTTCTCCCACACCTGACAGATTTATCTCCCGTTTTGCCGGTGCTAGATTTATCTGTCTCCGCCCTAGGGTTGAGACGGGGGGATTCCCCTATTCATAACTATGGCACGACGTCACTTCAACAATACAATGACGTCACGTCAACAATCCATCAACAAATTGCCTGTATGTGTTTTGGGTCCATGTTTACCTTTATTTCACATTAAAATACTGTTAGATATGGGAGAAAAATAATCAATCGCTACTGGTTGTGTAAGATAGAGAAAACTCAACCCTCTAGCGATAGATTCTAGTAGTACCATTCTGTTGATAAATTTTGAAATGAAGAAAAAGTTTCCTGAAAAAAAAATCTTGTTATCAAACGCTAACTAATTAATGTAAGTAAAACATGTTCACGTAAAATTCTAGTCTATGAAAATTCCGGTAGGTTAATAAGAAATAAACATTACATAACCCATTCACTCAGTCTATGGTGTGTCAGTTTTAAATTCTAAGATCTACACTCAACATATGATAGATTGATTAATTATTTACGAGTTTTGGACCGCACAGATCTAACGAGCAAGAAGAGTAAAAGTATAGATTGAGTGGCCAAAATAACTACATGTGATAATATACATCTCTGGAGGAATGAATATTAATTTAATCTGAGGATCAATGTGCATGCAAGTCAAAAGCTTTATGAAAATAAATGTTCTGTCTTTGACAAAACAATGACATATTTTTATGTGAAGGATTTTCATATCGAAACAAATGTGAAAGTTGTTTTATGCCCAGAGTCAAGATGAGTCTTGGTTTCAATTTCGTTATATGAGTCATTATCAGAAATTGACCGATTTTCATTTTGATAAAAAATAAAAAACAACTTGTTTAAAAATACATTTTTATTAACCAAACTATTAGATCCAACATTGGAGTAACTAAAACAAGTTTCTGTAATTCAAAATAATTACGTTTTTTCTAAACATTTTTAAAACATTAAGTCATATTCTACCAAAATGTCTGTGGTGTTACCAGTTTTTAAAATACATTTAAATATACAAAAAAAAAAAAAAAATATAAATCAAATTCCCTTTTTTATTATTATTGTATCACAGCTAAAGCCAATTAAATATATAAATGTTGACAGAAACTCAGTTATTTTATAAAATAACAACTTTCCCCTTCTGAATCATATTTTTTTTAAATTTGCATACTTGTCAAATATGTTTGGTGGAACTTAAAGTGCAATGTCAGAAGTATTTTAGGTTCAATTATATTTAATATTGCCAATGACAATATTATCATTAATTTGCACAAGATAAATGATGGATTTAAGAGAGAAATACATTTTTTAGGTCAAATAACATGACAGACATTTTGGTAACATGAAAGACATAAGTAACACCATAGACATTTGTATAGCATTAACATTAATCAAACATCATGAAATAACTAACAACAGTTTAAAATATTGACTGCAGCATATATATAATCATGGTTTTGAATGGATTTTCCATCCACAATTTTTCCAAATGATTTAGAGGAAACATCAATGAATAAAAATAATATTGGTAACATGATAGACATTATGTCTGTTATGTTACCAACAAAAAAAAACAAGCATGTTTATCATCTTGACTAGAGGATAACACAATTGTTGACTAGAGGATAACAACTGGAATAAGAATGTGTTTAAGCAATGAATGTTTTTGCAAATAGTGTTATGGTCGTATAACACCCATTGTTATTGCCGGTAGGGCTTTATGTTAGTTTGTCAGCAATATCAATAAGAGTTTATAAGACCATAATACCATTTGCTAAAATATTCATTGCTTATACATTTGTATTTATTCTTTGTATTGTTCGTGATCTAACCCTCCAGGAACTTTCCCCACGATTTTATTGAAAACACTGAGCCAGCTTTTGTCGGTGGTGCAATTATGGCCTTAACAGCCTCAATTGTATACCAACACCGGTCTCTTTTCTATTTTGGCCACGAAAACATGTTTCCATATAATCCACCCTCCTTCTTCATGCACTCTACAAAATACTCAGTTTTTGTTTTGTTTACTTTTAAGACTACCCCCGGAAATGGCTCGTTTTCATATAAAACAACAACATAGTTTCCAACAGTGGGCGGTCTTGAATCATTGGAAGGGGCGTAGGGTGACCCGACATCACTAGAAGGGGCAGTGGGTGACCCGACATCACTAGGAGGGACAGTGGGTGATCCGACATCACTAGGAGGGGCAGTGGGTGACCCGACATCAGTAGGAGGGGCAGTGGATGACCCGACATCACTAGGAGGGGAATTGGGTGACCCGACATCACTAGAAGGGGCATTAGGTGACCCGACATCACAAGGAGGGGCAGTGGGTGACTCGACATCACTAGGAGGGGCAGTGGGTGACCCGATATCACTAGNAGTAGGTGCCCCGACATCACCAGGAAGGGCAGTGGGTGACCCGACATCACTAGGAGGGGCAGTGGATGACCCGACATTATTGGGAGGGGCAGTGGGTGACCCAACATCACCAGGAGGGGCAGTGGGTGACCCAACATCACTAGGAGGGGCGGTGGGTGACCCGACATCACTAGGAGGGGCAGTGGGTGACCCGACATCACTAGGAGGGGAATTGGGTGACCCGACATCACTAGGAGGGGCAGTGGGTGACCCGACATCACTGGGAGGCGCATTGGGTGACCCGACATCACTAGAAGGGGCATTAGGTGACCCGACATCACAAGGAGGGGCAGTGGGTGACCCGACATCACTAGGAGGGGCAGTGGGTGATCCGACATCACTAGAAGGGGGAGTGGGTGATCCGACATCACTAGGAGGGGTAGTAGGTGCTCCGACATCACCAGGAAGGGCAGTGGGTGACCCGACATCACTAGGAGGGGCAGTGGATGACCCGACATTATTGGGAGGGGCAGTGGGTGACCCAACATCACCAGGAGGGGCAGTGGGTGACCCAACATCACTAGGAGGGGCGGTGGGTGACCCGACATCACTAGGAGGGGCAGTGGGTGACCCGACATCACTAGGAGGGGCAGTGGGTGATCCTACAGGAGTGGGCGACTTTTTTGTCATGCTGATATTTCTGCTTCTGTTGCATGAGATGCGCCTTTCTTCTAACGGGATCTTGATCCCTTCTTTCACAATATCTTCTTTGTTTTTCTGCTGCATTGAGGCCCATATTTCTGTTTAAAGATATAAGGTATAAAGTGTAAGGTATATTTCCATGATAATTGTTAAAAGAAATAGGTGATTTAATAACACAATGACAATTTGCGCAATCAATACTGTCATCAATTATAAAATATCAAGGTAACATGTGATTTTTTTTATTTGCAAAAAAATACCAATAAATATAATGTTTAACTTGAAGAAATTGTATACGGTACATGTTACCAATGCATTGTCTTTCATGTTACCATAACGTTGAAGAAAAAAAAATCAGTTTATTAGGCATTTTATTTTTCTTCAACGATTTCACAAGTTGCGTAAATATATAACTACAGTCTTTTAATTTAAACATGTTTTTAAATACAAAATTAAAACTAAAGAAAAGAAAAAATAAACATGTTTGTCTATCATGCTACCAAATATGTCTGTGGTGTTACAATGTTGTATAAAATAGAAAATGTTATGCAATATAATGCGTGTCGCAAGATTTAGTTGCATGGAAATATGTCAGTTGGAAAAAGACAATATAGTCCCGAATGAATAGTAATTTTCATTATTATAAATATAATTATAAAACTCATTTTAAGATTTTAGTGTCTGTGGTGTTACCAATGCATTGTCTTTCATGTTACCATAACTTTGAAAAAACAAACAACTGAGTGTATTAGGCATTTTATTGTTCCTTAACGATTTCACAAGTTGCGTAAATATAACTACAGTCTTTTAATCTAAAATGTTTTGTTTAAAACACAATTACAACTAAAGAAAGGAGAAAATAAACATGTTTGTCTATCATGTTACCAAATATGTCTGTGGTGTTACAATGTTTTAAAACAGAAAATTATATGCAATAAGTGTGTCGCAAGATTTAACTGCATGGAAATATGTCAGCTTGAAAAAAGACAATATAGTCCCGACTGAATCATTATTTTTATTATTTAAAATATAAGTATAAAACTATTTTTAAGATTTAAATGTCTGTGGTGTTACCAATGCATTGTCTTTCATGTTACCATATGTTAAAGAAAACGAATCAAATAAGTGTATTAAGCATTATATTGTTCCTCAAGGATTTTACACGTTGTGTAAATATATAACATGGTCTTTTATCTGAACGTTGTTTTTTTACTACAAAATTACAACTAAAGAAAAGGGAAAATGAACGTGTTTGTCTATCATGTTACCAAATATGTCTATGGTGTTACTTTTTATATGGTAACATGAAAGACAGTAACACCATAGACATTTGACCTAATTACCTAGCTTAACCTGCTCTGTGTAGTGCAGAAAAAGTTTTTGCCGCCAAAAATATGTTTGTGATAACTGGACTGTTAGAGACATATTTTGAAATATGTACCATACCTTTTACATTTCTCACAATCATGGTAACATCATAGACAAATAAAATGAAACATGAGTCGGTACTTACACTGGATGGTCGTTTGGTTGGCCTTCTGTTTTTATAACTGCCACCATGGCATGCTGGTTTGAACAGGAAATGGTGCTGCTTCAGTTGCAGGATGGGAAATATAAGCAAGCTGGTACCAGTTCATCAAGTGAACCAAAATCAGTACCGGTAACATGAAAGACATGAAAATCAAGTACAAAATATTTTTTTCGTTTAAATAACTAAAATATTAAAATATCAATTTATTTTCATATTTAAAGTGAAATATAGAATGTTTTCTCAATAAATTAGAATAAGAAATGTACATTGACTGGTGTGAATAACTCTTTTTTAATGTCAATCAGCCCACCCTACCATTGGACAACAACCGCTTTTCACTTTTGGTCTTTATAATTTCAGTTTTCTTTTGTAAACATTTTTTTTTTTAAATGGATCTTTTTCTTATTGTATTAGTACATGTCTTTAATGTAAATACACCAGAAATGGACAGTTTTATTATTTGATCATACAAATTCATCTCAAAGTGCTGGAACACAAAATCGGTCAATTTCTGATAATGACTCATTATATCTTCTGAATGTTTTAGAAGAAATGGTTTAAGCAGAGAACAGAACCATGGATGAATTGAGATACTTTAAAGAGGCAAATACTTGTCTCGATACGTGAAAAAGGTTAACTGGAATTTGACCGCTATTTTTTCTATGCGATATCTCATTTTTGTGAGATCTTTGCAAATGATTAATATTAAATCCCGGTTCCGGATAACGAGTGTGGGTCTAATTTTAAACGCCGGGCGACATCACCAGATACGGCTTAGTTGAACTGAGCCGATCCGTCAAAAAGGTGAGTAAACTTTGTTTTAGGTATCTGCCATTTGACAACAATACAGGCATAGATAAGAGAACAAGCATGGCCAGTTCACATCGAAGCATTTTGGCAAACAATAAGAAAATGCCATGCATGATTCTGTAGAAATAACCTTGGAGTCCACAGTACAGCCTACTACGCGTTAGCTAGTTAACCGCCACCCTTGATCAGTGAAGGGGAATGGTACGATACACATATAATTTCTACGAGCTCTCGACAACGTTCTCTGTTTGGAGTCGACATAACTGTTAAGTGACAGTTAGTATTTAAAGCATAATATACATCCTCTGCCTAGGATTTCTCTGCACCCGCAGGGTTAAGGTTTCACATCCAGGGTAAAGTTTCACAGTTACAACCCCACGGTAAGGTTCAATAGTTACACCCCCAGGGGGTTAATATTTAATATTAAGGTTCCACAGTTACCCCCAGGATATGACAGCTAGCTATAGCACATAGAAAGAAACAATTCTATGACATCACAGCTTCTGATGATGATCTTGAAATGGGCCAGTAGCATGTTGGGATGAAGCAACATCAACTTTGTTTTAAAAAATAAATGTCCTTGATCTGCGGTTCATTTCACCATGCTTCACAATACCATGCTACGCCGGGTATCAGATTATTTGCCCCAAAACCGTAACGCCACAAGCTGTTACATCCCAATTTTACTTCATATCGCCTCTGAAAACCTGAGCGTCCCATGCATATTGCCCGAAAAATTCAGTTTGCCCCAAAAGCTACATATCACACAAAATCAATATATTTATTAATATGTCGTTTCCAAGATACTTTTCCATCTAGATTCGACCGGGTTTTAGATAAGCATGTCATGTGAAGGGGGGGGGGGGGGGGGGGGGGGGGGGGGGGGCATGTGTACTTCTGGTAATCACCGTAAATCAGAGAGTTGCACAAAACCATATGCAAAAACCGGGTACAGATATGTGTTTCCTGACTGCATGTCTTACAACATTATAACCTGCTAACTCCTGAATCTCCCAATGGGGGGCATGACCCCTGACCCCTGACCCCCATCGGTAAATTCTGTGGGTAGTGATAACGCGTGACAAAATGTTTGCGTCAATTTTAATAATTTTGTGTCATCACAGCATAACATAATGTTGTGTGTTGCGATCGCTATCCGGAAGCATTTTCATGCAGATTGGTAAAATGATCTTCCATGGACTAAGATAAGTACTCGGGATTAAAGTTAATAAGTTAGTGTTTATATCCTTGTCGTCAGACTTCGTGATTTTTTTTTATCATACGTCTTTTAATGTACCTCAGTATCTCAGAAAAGTATACATTTTCTGTACATTTTAAGTAGCTAAATAAAGTTATAACGTTTTTGTACCTTTTTACTAGAACTGCTTTCATACTTTTGCAGTATCTCAGGAAAGTATTCATTTTCTGTACATTTTAAGTACCTTAATAAAGTTATAACTTAATTGTACCTTTTTCACTAGTGCTGCTTTTGTGGCTAAATGTAACTTTTGTGTACCCTTTTGTTTGCCAATAAAGTAATGATTGAACTGAACAAAGTGTTTGAGTGTAACCTTTCAATACCTTTTTGTAACTTTTTAGAACTAGATTGAAATTCTCTTCTCACAAGGTTCCAATCTAGCATCAAAAGTTATAACTTTTTTGTACTTAAAAAGAAATAACTTTTTTGTAACTTTTTTCGGTATGGGGTCATAAAGAGCACATGGACCTACCAAAAAAGTTGAAGTATACAGTTTAAAATAAGCATGAGCGGGCTTAACATTATTCTGAGCCACTCAAAATTATTTTTCCACAAAGCATTGTAATACCTGACACTTGTTCTTTTGTTCTAATGTTGGACAAAGTCCAGATATCGGTTGTGAAATCAAATGTATTACGGTCGGGATTATATGCACTGTTTTAATAGTAAACAGACTCACTTTTCAAATTGCTTGGCTGGCCAACAGAGAGGAAACCATTGTGAAAATGTTTGGAAATGTGTGTATGACTTCACCTATACTTGTGTGCTAAACTTTTAACATATTAAAAAAAAAAGAGAAGACTTTTCCTGAATAATTTGGCCAGAAACATGATGGAATCAAGGGCTATCAATTGTGTCCAGATGAACGACCTATACTGATCTGGTCACAGTTGACACGGGGGAAAAACGTGCTAAAAAAAAAAGAAAATTCTAATGATAATAACTTTAACCTATACTCAAGATCACATGGGTCAAACAGAAATAACTTTAACTTATATTCAAGGTCACATGAGTCAATCAGAAATAACTTAAACCTTTACTCAGAGTCACAGGGGTCAAACAGAAATAATTGTAATCTTCACACAGGGTCACAGAGGTCAAACAGATCTATCTTTAACTTATATTCAAGGTCACATGAGTCAATCAGAAATAACTTAAACCTTTACTCAGGGTCACAGGGGTCAAACAGAAATAATTTTAACCTTCAAGTAGGGTCACAGAGGTCAAACAGATATAACTTTAACTTATACTAAAGGTCACATGAGTCAAACAGAAATAACTTAAACCTTTACTCAGGGTCACAGGGGTCAAACAGAAATATCTTAAACTTTTACTCAAGATTGTTTTGTTTTGTTTTTGTATTGTTTCATTAACGGCCCATCAACAATGTGAGTCATTTAGGGCCAACAACACTTTAAAGAGAGACATTCACGAAAATAAACACATCAAACCAAAACTTAATAGCTTAAAATATGTAAAGGATTAAAGAAAAATAATGGCGAAGTGAACTCTACTGCTGTCATTAAATTTGATGGAAAACCATTAAAAAAGCTCTCACGACTAACCCAGGACGAGTTGCACAAATTCATCATGACCTTGCAATCGAGGTCCTGACAGCTGGATTCGCTTCCCACAGACCTACTCAAGCAATGCATGCTTCTTTTGATTACTTCAAGCATGAACAAAATCATCAGTTGAGTCAAAGGTTCCATTGTGTTTCAAGAAGGCACATGTAAAACCACTGCTGAAAAAGCCTGGAATGGACAAGGAGTTGAAGAACTACCACCCAGTATCAAATCTACATTTTCAGTCTAAGATCTTGGAGAAGATTGTGTACCAGAGTTTAGAAGTTCATCTCCATGTTAACAGTTTCCATGACAAACATCTGGAGTACTCTTATGGAGTGACTGGTGACACACTGCTGGATACAGTCTTATTTGAATGAATGAGGACAGTATGTTGCCAAAGGATCTACCACCTCACATGACAAAATACTAGTTTTCGGGGTTCCTCAAGGGTCGGTGTTAGTACCATGAAAATTTTGCCTATATTCAAAACTGATTGGAGAGATTGGTTGACACACAGCCTTTGCTTTCATTGTTATGCTGACGAGTGACGACACACACATGTACATGGTCATCAAGCCACAGGACAGTTGGCATACTGATCACAAAATCTGGAAACATGTCTGACAGACATCAATACCTGAATGTCAACATGCTAAAGCTTAATCAGGAAAAGATGGTACTTATTGTCTTTCCCCTTTGGCAACATAGGGGTATACTTTGATAGTTCACTGAACATTAAGAAATAAAAGAACACCATTGCCAAATCCTGTTACTAACAGATCAGGAACATCAGCTGCATCCGTCAAATTTAAACTGCAGATGCATGCAAGACTGGTGAATTTACATATTACCTCTCGTTTGGACTATATGGTAACGTCCTGCCCTGTGGTATATCTGACAAACTAACTAGTTGTCTGCAGAGTGCCCAGAACACTGCAGCAAGACTGGTTACTCGTACTTGAAACAGAGAGCACATCCCACCTGTGCTATATTCGTTGCACTGGTTACCTGTACGATACAGGTTGCTGTACAAACTTTTGGTGTACACGTACAAGCTCCCCAGTACCTACAGGAGCTTGTCACCTGTATCAGTTGTCACGATCACTGCGGTTGGAGACAGATTCCTGTGTGTCAAGTGCTTTGGAAAGGTTTCCGCCACGTTTCCAGGAAGTCGAAACTCAAGAAGGATATAAAGACTCGCCTTATTACATCTGCATTTTAGGCTCTTTTGCGCCTATGTCACGTACACAACACCCTATACATCTATAAAGTAAAGCACCTTAAAGTTCCAGTGAGATTTAATCTTCAGTGTCATGTTTTATTTATGAATATTATGTACATGGAGATATTAAAGTCTTGTTATAAATGTCACTGTAGGAATACTGTTAAAAAAATATTCTTGTGCTGTAAAGCACCGTAGAGTTTTTTTTCTTCGAATTATATAGGGCGCTGTATACATCCTATATATTATTACTATTAACCTCAAACTATTTCTTCTTGAAAGCTCCGTCCTTAAATGACCATAGCTGTTGATAGGACGTTAAACAATACTAAACCAATCTTGGAAGCTTTAAAGTGGCCTGGCCTAGAGCCATGATGCATTGCATAGCTTGCTGGCAATCGGTGCTATACCAAGTTAAAGAAAACAAATGATCTTGACCTTTATGCAAAGCTGCAGGGTTCAAATCTGTTCCAACACTGTGAAGAAGGAAAGGCCAAGAGTCATGGACGTACCAGCAGCTTGCTGAAATGAAGTACTATAAAGTGTGCGAAAATAAATAACCTTGACCCTTATTTAAAGTTATAAGGGATCAAATTTTTTAAAGTGCAATTTTCTTAGAACTTATTATAAAAGACATATTGATATGATATTTGGCTCAAATGTAGTGATATGTACCAAATTTGAAAAAAAAGTAATGGCCTTGTCTACTTTCAAGGTCACATAGGTCAAATATATAAGTGTTAAAATAATCAATATCTGAAGTACTGAAAAGGCTTAGAGTCGTAATATTGAAGAACTGAAAAGGCCTAAAGTCATAATATTTAGCCAGTAGCTTTCTGAAATATAGTTCAAGGAAGTTTGTGAAAGAAATGCCAGTTAATAAAGGTGAGCATCTTATTAGCTTCTTGAATCTCATGTTTATAAATAGTTGAAAATATGGAGGTAATCAAGTAAAATTTGTGAGTGCAGATTTGAGTAACTGTTTAATGATGAATACTTGTTTTATTGACCTGCATTGTTCACATATAATTCAATCAAATATTCGTTTACTTTTGATGAATAACTGATCATAAGTCCAGATTGATCGTCATATTTGTCATTATGTTAGACGTTTAGGGTTCAAAATATCATAAAAGATTTATCAACATGCTGGATTACTAAATATTGACTTGGCTTACTCCCCCGCAGGAATCAGTGGAGTGTTTGTTTAGTGTCGACGCGTGTCTCCAGCGATTGGTGGAGAACTCTGTCACTTCGTATAAGGATTCACAATTACAATGTCACAGAGACAGGTGTAGTGTTCAAGGAGGGTGCTGTTTGGATACACCAGGGCTGGAAAGTTGTACTTACCAAGATAAGTGTTTTCTGTCTCAGATCCTCTTCGACATGGCATGACATTATAAGAAAGTGTTAAATTCCGTCCTCAGGGGGGAAGTCTGTGGCTTGTCATATATAGTGTATACCTATTGTTCTAATTGCTGTACTGCTGTATTATAGTAGAACGAGAATCGTTATCACATCTGTGACTAGGTGAAAACTTGTGCCATTAGGTGAACCTCAGACCAGCTGTCTACCAGCTGTGCTATTATGAAGGCATTATAAAGTGTATGACAAAACGAAGGTAAATACAGATATTTTGGACATCGAGGAAGACATCATGTTGAGTCGCCAAAGGAGAATTGGAGAGCGGATATAGAAAGTACATGTACTTAGGTCAGTTTGACAAGTGGTGTTTATTCTCCGATTCTGGGAAGTGATTGCCATATGAAAGTGATATCAATCATTGAGACATTTGTGAAGTCAACTTCAGACATCATCAACATTGCTGCCTTGCAATGGGGCTGTCCAGACTAGCAATCTGCATTACCGTGCTAGCAGCATTATCAGCAAGCTTGTATGTTAGTGGGCCAAACAGGATTCTTGAAATGGTAAGCTAAGAATTATTTCAGGTGAATTTTTGTCATGTTGAAGCAATTTAATAGAGACCATTGAAATAAGCAGGAACAAAGTTTTCTAGAAATTTGTGTCAAAGTACTGAGAAATTAACTGAATTTCAGATGGGGGGAAAAAACTTTTAATAGATATGCAAGTGAGTATATCGGAGAAATCCGATTGTTGTTCGATCAGGTGATCTACAGTACCTTTTGTATCGTACCTATAAACACCTCCTCACACATACCGTGTACAATGTTGTATAAATTGTAATACTTTTTTTTCACTTAAAATTGTTGATTATATAACTATAATGCTATGTTGAGATTTTAAGATTGTGAACTACATGTACCTAGGTGTCATGGTAACTCCAGTCATGTCTTAGGTGTTCTGGAAATAGCTAGGTTATCAATTAACAATTGATTAGAAAATGTTATAATAGTAGTGTTTTGCAAGATGTTTTCATGGAAATAAGAAAATAATAAACTATTGCACCACCCGGAAAATGATTTCAATCCCATTGGAAATTTAGGTTAGTTATATAAACAGGACTTTTATAATCTTCAGTATAGGAGATTGAAAAGTGAGTCATATTGTGCTATCTAGTTTATTGCCTCCTTTTAATGCATCTTGAAAGAAAATTAGTACCATGTACCAGGTAAACAGGGGTTGATGGCTCTATTAGACTATATTACCACCCTTTGTTACCAGGGGAGACCAGGTGGGCGTCATTTTATACTGTGATAAAAGCTATAACTAGCATTGTAATCGGGATGGTTGCTGGGTCTTTATCACATGGAATGTCATAAACAAGTTTAAATACCCTCCCTCTTATATCACATGAAATATGGTTGACAGGTCCAAATGACCTCCTTTGCTGATGTCAGGCTCGTCCAAATGATAATCTATCTTTGTAATCCTCAAGTGAAACAAACATAGGGTTGAAGCCTACTGTTTCTATGTTTCTGTTCCTGTGTAACTATTCCTATGTTACTGTTTCTATGTTACTGTTCCTGTGTTACTGTTCCTGTGTTACTGTTCCTGTGTAACTGTTCCTATGTTACCATTTCTATGTTACTGTCCCTGTGTTACTGTTCCTGTTCCTGTGTTACTGTTCCTGTTCCTATGTAACAATTTCTATGTTACTGTTCCTGTGTTACTGTTACTGTGTTACTGTGCTACTGTTCCTATGTTACTGTTCCTAAGTTACTGTTCCTAAGTTACAGTTCCTATGTTACTGTTCCTATGTTACCATTTCTGTTACTGTTCCTATGTAACAATTTCTATGTTACTGTTCCTATGTTACTGTTCCTATGTTACTGTTCCTGTGTAACTGTTCCTATGCTACTGTTCCTGTGTTACTGTTCCTATGTTATTGTTCCTGTGTAACTGTTCCTATGTTACTGTTCATGTGTAACTGTTCCTATGTTACTGTTCCTGTGTTACTGTTCCTAAGTTACAGTTCCTATGTTACTGTTCCTATGTTACCATTTCTATGTTACTGTTCCTATGTAACAATTTCTATGTTACTGTTCCTATGTTGCTGTTCCTATGTTACTGTTCCTATGTTAATGTTCCTGTGTAACTGTTCCTATGTTAATGTTCCTGTGTAACTGTCCTATGTTACTGTTCCTGTGTTACTGTTCCTATGTTACTGTTCCTGTGTAACTGTTACTATGTTTCTGTTCCTATGTTACCATTTCTATGTTACTGTTCCTATGTGACAATTTCTATGTTACTGTTCCTATGTTACTGTTCCTGTGTTACTGTTCCTGTGTAACTGTTCCTATGTTACTGTTCATGTGTTACTGTTCCTGTGTTACTGTTCCTATGTTACTGTTCCTGTGTTACTGTTCCTATGTTACTGTTCCTGTGTAACTGTTTTTATGTAACTGTTCCTATGTAACTGTTACTATGTTTCTGTTCCTATGTTACTGTTCATGTGTTACTGTTCCTGTGTTCCTGTTACTATGTTACTGTTCCTATGTTACTGTTACTATGTTACTGTTCTGATGTTACTGTTACTGTGCTACCATTTCTATGTTACCGTTTCTATGTTACTGTTCCTATGTTACCATTTCTATGTTACTGTCCTGTGTTACTGTTCCTATGTTACTGTTACTATGTTTCTGTTCCTATGTTACTGTTCCTGTGTTACTGTTACTGTTCCTGTGTTTCTGTTCCTGTGTAACTATTTCTATGTTATTGTTTCTATGTTACTGTTCCTGTGTAACTGTTCCTATGTTACCATTTCTATGTTACTGTTCCTATGTTACTGTCCCTATGTTACTGTCCTTGTGTTACTGTTCCTGTTCCTATGTTACTGTTCCTAAGTTACAGTTCCTATGTTACTGTTCCTATGTTACCATTTCTATGTTACTGTTCCTATGTAACAATTTCTATGTTACTGTTCCTGTGTTACTGTTCCTATGTTACTGTTCCTGTGTAACTGTTTTTATGTTACCGTTTCTATGTTACTGTTCCTATATTACCATTTCTATGTTACTGTTCCTATGTTACTGTCCCTGTTTTACTGTTCCTATGTTACCATTTCTATGTTACCATTTCTATATTATTGTTTCTATGTTACTGTTCCTATGTTTCTGTTCCTGTTTGTATGTTACCATTTCTATGTTACTGTTACTATGTTACTGTTCCCATGTTACTGTTCCCATGTTACTGTTCTTATGTTTCTGTTCCTGTTCCTATGTTACTGTGTCTATGTAACCATTTCTATGTTACTGTTCCTATGTTACTGTTTCTATGTTACCATTTCTATATTATTGTTTCTATGTTACTGGTCCTGCATTACTGTTCCATGTTTCTGTTCCTGTGTTACCATTTCTATGTAACCATTTCTATATTAGTGTTTCTATGTTACTGTTTCTATGTTACCATTTCTATATTATTGTTTCTATGTTACTGTTTCTTTGTTACTGTTCCTGTGTAACAATTCCCATGTTACTGTTTCTTTGTTACCATTTCTTTATTATTGTTTCTATGTTACTGTTACTGTTCCTATGTTACCATTTCTATGTAACCATTTCTATGTTACCATTTCTATGATACTGTTCCCGTGTTACTGTTCCCATGTAACTGTTCCTATGTTACCATTACTATGTTACTGTTTCTATGTAACCATTTCTATGTTACTGTCCCTATGTTACTGTTCCTTCTGTTTCTATGTTTCACACTGTAAAACTCTACTACACTCAGTGTCTCTTTTTCATTTTCAGCGAATACATTCTGAGATTCACCATAAACAAAAAACGTGAATAATCTGAATATCTTTAATTTGTACTGAAGTAATAAACATGTACTGTATCCATTTATGAACTTCTCCAGATCCAAAATTTGTATATATACTGTGTCCTTGGAATTTTTTCTCATCATTGTTTTTTGAGCACGTGATTTACACTTTTTGATGAAAAAGATTGAAGTCGACACAACACTTCTATATAATGAAGCTGCTGCCTGTATTAGTTAATTCTCTAAAGAAACTTTAATTTGTATGTTGATTGGTACAGAAATCACAAAAGCTGCAGTGATTACGTCTGCTGCATTAATATTTGAGTACTCCACTGATTTTACCATAGGCCTCAGCCCTATTCCAGGAAACTAACAATTGTCTACTAGCAAAAACTCAAGTTAATCTTAAAAATATTCTAGTTAAAATTTAAAAATATCACTTATTCTCAATTTTCTGCAAGTACGTTTTTCTGTCTTTAAAAAACAAAAACAAACAAAAAAACAAAAAGCAGATATTGATATTCACCGCATGTGTCCTTGATTGACATTCTTAGTGTCTGTTTCACTTGTTGATGTTCTAATATGTAACATTTAATGAAACAAACTTTAAAGTTTCTACACATCAAACATTTCATGTTTTACTGCAGCAATTGAAACTTTGAAAGTAGCTCAAATAGTTAGTTTCGACCCCTTGGTTCTATATTAACACCAAAATTATTTTCAACATTATACTTTGAAAATTCAGAGCTTCCACATTGATTAAAAGTAAATACAACTTTGTAATTTCAACTCTAAAAATATTTTTTTAGCTCTCCATGTCCAGACAACCAGTGATCTTATTCCATCGTTCATCCGTCTGTGCACTGTCTGTCAACTTTTTCCTTTAAACACTACTAGTCCTTAACGGCTCAGTGGATTTTTACCAAATTTGGTCTGGAACACTCTTGACCAAAAGGGACTCAGTTTTGTATAAACGGTGAATGTGAACCAATGTGAACAAAAGTAAATCTTCAAAAACCTTCTTTCTTCGTACCAATGAAGGGTTTTAGACCAAATTTGTTCCAGAGCATCTTTGGGAAAAGGGGACTCAATTTTATATAAAAGGAGGATGTGGCACCCCTGGGGACAGAGAAGCAAGGCCCAAAAGGGGAAATAGAGGTAAATCTTTAAAATTCTTGTCCCTTCATATAATTGAAGAAATTTTAACCTCCATGGGCTATGCTAACGCAATTGTTTTATAAACCGAAGGTATGCCCCCCTCCCCATAAATTGGACATTGGGGCAGGCCTGCAGAGAAAATTATGTTGTATTTTGAAAATGTTTGAGATCCATTCCTTACATGTATATCTATGTATGCTTATACTCAACTTAAATAAAGAAATGCATTCATGCTACCAAAATAAGCTCTGGGGTTACCCACCTTGTGGGGTTGGTTCTGATAGGAAAATTAGGTCATAACTCGAAAACAGTCAGGATTTTCACTCTGTGACCGATTATACAATTGGTAGGTATGAAGAGGCCTAGGATTGGACCTAGTTGTCCATCGTCCTGGTCCATCATTTTTTTCCCTTTAAAATGCTACTTTAAGTCCTTAATGGCTCAGTGGATTTTGACCAAATTTGGCGGAGCATCCTTGGCGATCAAAGGGGTCTTAATTTCTTTTAAACGGAGAGTTTCGGTCCAAATATAGGTAATGGATGTAAAGATACCAAACGAAAGTATTAAATAATTATACTTTTGGTAACGTTTGGGGAGAGGATATGTAATAATAGGGACTAATTTAGCTGAAGTTCCTCCCAGGGAATTTTCATCCTTTTTTTGCAGTACTAAAGAGTAGGCCTTAACAATTGACTTTTACTGATGTAGAGTAGAGATTTTGTTACCAAACAAATGCAAGGTCACACAAGTGACAAGAAATACTTCTTCATCTGGGCTCATTCTCGAAATTCATGAGGTTATTTCTGACTAGGGATCTTTGCACCCATGGAATGTGTGATGACAAAATGGCCTTCAGAAACTGGCCTTCAGAAACTGGCCGTGAAAACCCCCTGACCAATCGCTAGGCTGATACATGTCCATTGAAGATTACTGAGAACAACAAGTCAATTTGTTCTTGTTGTTCTCAGTAATCTTCAATTCTTTAAGGAGTTTCCACCCTTTGTAATACACATGTTTTTCTTGTTGTATTTTCGTGTCGTCATTTCCGTATTGCGTATCGGGCATTCCATTACCGTAGTGTAAATTATAGTAACACCGGGTAAACAATAGTACATGTGCGTGACGATGATATGTCAACACCCGATATCTAGACTTAACTTCGAAATGTGTAATCACACGTACTTCAGAAATAAAGCTTATGATACAAAGACATTAATTAAATCACGGGAAAACACTGACATACGATCAGACGACTTCAAGAAGGTCGTATATGAGGCGCCTGGAATGCAGACTGATGTGTTTTGTTTACCGACCTCACCTGTACGTATCACGCGCTAACAGTAGTTCAAAAGCTCTTGGTCGCTACGACTTCTGTTGTGGAGTGAGTTACGCTCTGTCAGATAAATCGGTTCACAAATGCAATTACAATAACTCTGTGAAAATAGTGGTTTGTAAAATATCAAGATCCCTATAAAATGCAAGTGCATGTGCGTGCACGTAATAACGGCATACCATGCGATAGCCGATGGTTACATATATGTACCTGACATGTTAATATACCATGCGTAAGCAGGCTATGGAATGATGTCCAAAGTGTACATGATTGAGAGTAATTTTGTTCCATAAAAGAACAGTAAATTGACAAATAAATATAGTAATTTAATTTATTTCCGTCGTTTTTGGTATATGAAATAAAATAAGTGTCATTGTATAAATTCTATCCTTCTGCAAAAAGTTCCGATTTTTTTCAAGGTAGACAACTCTCATCAGGATCAAAATAATTGTAAAATGTAAAATAAATTAATTATAAAGACTTTGTGTGTATTTGGTTCAAATTTTCACTCTTTTTGTATGTAACTATGTGTCCTGTTTGATTTTGGCTTGTATTTAGTAACTTTTATCCATATAGTTTCAATAAAAAACGCTTTTTGTAACATGTTGTAGATATTTTATGATAAATAAAATATTTGTAGGGTTGATTAGCAATGTTTCTTTTCATTATTTTATTGTTGTAATAGTTTCGGACAATGCCACACGCTCAAAAAATGTGAAAGTGTTGAATTTGACAAAAATTCAATTTTTCGGTATTTTTTACAAATAAATCCCCAGTTTATCGGAATGCTTAGATTTTCATAAAATCATCTCTACATAGTGACATAACCATCATGTGAAACTTTTATTGAATTCTGATGGCTAATTGCGAAAGGGTGGAGCCTCCTTAACTGGGCCTGCCATTTTAATGGCTTGTCCTTGAGACAGTTCTTTCACAGAGCTGGTCTTTCATTGTAGTGGTCCTTTAACTTTAGCTGGCGTTATAATCCTACTGTGATATTGACCTCACTTGATCGTAAGAGCAATGAAATGAACTATACATTGACAGGCTTAAACTCTTCCTAACACTTGAGGTCAGGCTGACATGGTCAACAGTACAAGTCCTCCTTATTGTCTACAATTAAATACTAACAGTGATTAGTTGTCGAAGCATGTTAAATATTTTAATTAAACCAAGAATGAAAGACAGGCTGACCCCACCCCCACCCCCACCCGGGATAAGGGATGGGGCCAAAAAGTGTTCATAACTTGGAAAGGGTGGAGATCCCCACCCTATAACCATATATACAATTGCTGAGTATAAAGAGACGAATGCACATATGCTTCCAGAATGGCCTTGGGGGGTCAGGCCCCTCCCTGGAAACTTAGTCTTTTGGCCATAATTTTGAAACAGTTGTGATCCCCACCCCAAAACTAAATATACAATTGCTAGGCATATAGAGATGAACACAGTTATGATATTAGCATTGACCCTTGGGTCTGGCCACAACCCTAGGGACCTAGTTTCTGAGTCACAACTTGGAAACAGTTGAGATCCCCACCCCACAACCACATTGCATACAATTGCTGGGCAAGAAAAATCTCATAGATATGCTACAAGGATTGGCATCTGAGTTTGGCCCTATCCCTAAAATCTTCTTTGAAGAATATTTTGCCATGATTGCTTAGATATCCTGGTGAGCGATACAGGCCCTCTGGGCCTCTTGTTAGTTTTTGGAACTCTTTAGGGAAGGAGATGTAATTGTCCCTGTTAGGTGGTCGTAAGTGTTCTCTGTCCACACAGAGTACACAAACAAGTAGATCTATTACACCTACACTCACTACAGTACACACTGTAAAGTAAACAAATCTACCCATTTCAGAATTCAACACTTAACAAGGAGTCTACAAATCATTAACACTGAGGTCTTTGAAATTCGGAAACCTGAATTCTTGACTTTCACAAGCATAACAATGTGTATATATAGTGGTGAGGTTAACTTGGGTGAGTTTTCTCATTCTTTAACTGAGACAGCCTTACAAGGTAGGTTATTTTTGATTAACAAGTTATAATTGCATGAACAAGACCATTTTTTAGCTCACCTGGCAGGAAGTGCCATTTGAGTTTATGGTATGGTGTGTTGTTAGTCATATGTCCGTCGTCTGTCAACTTTTTCTTTGAGCAACTTCTTCCCAAGAACTGGAAGACCAAGGGCCATGCTATTTGGCAAGTAGGTAACTTGGAGGGAGTGCTATAAGGTATATTCAAATAAATGACCTTGACCTACTTTCAAGGTCACAGGGGTAAAATATGTTAAAACCTTTTAACAACTTCTTCTGAATAACCAAGGGGCATAGAGCAATGCTATTTGGTCAGTAGGTGCCAGGGATGGAGTGCTATGAACTTTTCTCCAATAAATGACCATGACCTTTTTTCAAGGTCACAATGGTCAATTATATAAAAAATCTTCTGAATAACCAGGAGGCCCGGGGTGATGATATTATGCTAGTAGGTACTTGGGACATAGTACTTTGAAGTTTCCTCAACTGGATGACCTTGACATACCTTGAAGGTCACAGGGGTTAAATATGTTCAAACCTTTGAATGACTTCTTCTGAATAACTAAGACACATATGGTGATGATACATGGCCAGTAGATATCTGGGACAGAGTGCTATAAGGTTTCCTCAATTAAATGACCTTGACGTTCTTTCAAGGTCACAGGCATCAAATATATATTTGGTTGGAAGCATTCCTAGTTGGTGGGATTCAAGAGTATACAAAAGGTGGAGGGACTGACCCCCAGCTGGGGGCTGAGGTGCAAAGCCAAAATAGGCAAATGGGTCGTATTGATGTAAATGAATTTTTTTCTTCTCAATCATATATGGGATTTTCAGGTGGTTGGAATTCAAAATTGTACCTGTTGATAGGCTGACCCAAGGCTGACGGGTGGGGCAAAAAAGAGTTTTAACTTAAAAATGATTAAAATCCCCATCATATAACCACATTTGCTGAGACAAATACACATATAGTTCCAGGATTGCTCTTGGGTCTAGCCCACTGATGGAGACCTACCGGGTAAGTCCATGTGTCATAATTATAAAAAAAAAGCAACTCCATTATCATGTATACGATTGCTGCTGAGCACAAAGAAACAAACACCACTTCTTCTCTTACATTTGATTTGTTTTCTGTACATCCCTAACTTTCCTATTTTACTGTTGTTCCAGGTAGTGAACTTTCGCCCCACACTGATGGGGGTGACCAAGGCCCTGCTGGGGATGGCAGGGGTGACCGCTATGGCCGCCACCCTCTGTAACATGCCTGTATCATGGTTCATGTCATCAGAAAAAGCCACGCTGAAATACCTGGAGAAAGCTAGGGTGCAGACATTGGACTCTCAACGAAACAACATCACAGTAAGTCCTGATACTTGGTCTGTAGGCTACTTCAAAGGTTGCAAGTGTCAAAACGTGTTAAGCAATCCGCCTGAATAACCAAGATGTGTTAAGCAACTCTTCTGAATAACCAAGATGTGTTGAGCAACTCTTCTAAATAACCAAGATGTGTTAAGCAACTCTTCTGAATAACCAAGATGTGTTAAGCAACTCTTCTGAATAACCAAGATGTGTTAAGCAACTCATCTGAATAACCAAGATGTGTTAAGCAACTCTTCTGAATAACCAAGATGTGTTAAGCAACTCTTCTGAATAACCAAGATGTGTTGAGCAACTCTTCTAAATAACCAAGATGTGTTGAGCAACTCTTCTAAATAACCAAGATGTGTTAAGCAACTCTTCTGAATAACCGAGATTTGACGGCTAGATCTTTTGCCAGTAGTATTCCAGGATGAAGGGCTATCAAGTTTGTTCCAGTGAATGTGTCAGTTTCTGATTAACTCGGTGTCAAAGGCCTTTATGGGGTCCCTATGAACTACTTTGATTACGTCTCCTTCATCAATGAATCGTGTCCAGTTGTTTCAGGTTTTGAGGGGCTGGAGTACTGTGGATCTCCCGTTTACAAATCCAAACAGCTGATTACTAAGATGGTTGTTATTTTTTTCCGACAATTTGACTACAATACTTGTAAAACCAACTGGTCTGCAGTTGTCAGCATAACACTTGTGTCCTTGGTTATAGCTGTAGCCCTTTTGTCATCCCATACTTATGGCACAAGACCTGTACTTAACAATTGGTTGAAGAGTATTTTGAGTGGAACGATAATTTCATTTTCAAGTTCTATGAAAGTGTTTGGTTGTTTGTTATCTAGATTTTGATATTTCTGGGTGGTGAGGCCTTTTAATTAATTAAGCAGTTTCTTGTTTGCTAATTTCCTTATTGACTTTTTTTTTCATTTTTTTACCGTGGGTCCTCTTGTGATAACTGCTGACTGTCCTTGTAAAAGGACATAGGACAGTCATTAAAAAACGGAAAAACTGGATACTTATCTAGATCATAATAATGACAGTATGACCCTATATGGGTGCTGGATACTTATATGAATCAGACTAATGACAGTATGGCCACCTACGGGTGCTGGATACTTATATGGATCAGAATATCAACAGTTTGGCCCTCTATGGGTGCTGGATACTTATATAGATCAGAATAATAATGACAGTATCACTCTATGGCCTTATATGGGTGCTGGATACTTATATAGCTCCGAATAACAACAGTTTGGCCATCTGTGGGTGCTGGATACTTATATAGCTCAGAATAACAACAGTTTGGCCCTCTATGGGTGCTGGATACTTATATAGATCAGAATAACAACAGTTTGGCCCTCTATGGGTGCTGGATACTTATATAGATCAGAATAACAACAGTTTGGCCCTCTGTGGGTGCTGGATGCTTATATAGATCAGAGTAACAACAGTTTGGTCCTCTATGGGTGCTGGATACTTATATAGGTCAGAATAACAACAGTTAGGCCCTCTGTGGGTGCTGGATACTTATATAGATCAGAATAACAACAGTTTGGCTCTCTATAGGTGCTGGATACTTATGTTGATATTTTTTTACACAAGTCAATGATTTATTGCTTCTTCAAAAAAACTAAAACTTTTACCAAGTAGTATGACTCTTGGTAGGAGACCTCAACTGTGTTGTATACTTGTTTTTTACAGGCATCAGAGTTATGGAAAAACAATGGTGTGGTCATGATGGCCATAAGGCGGCCCGGATGATCCATGTGTAGGGAGGTAAGTAAATCTGGTGTATAAAATTATAGCACGGATGATCCATGTGCTGGGAGGTTAGTAAATCTGGTGTATATAATTATAGCACGGATGATCCATGTGTAGGGAGGTTAGTAAATCTGGTGTATATAATTATAGCACGGATGATCCATGTGCAGGGAGGTTAGTAAATCTGGTGTATATAATTATAGCACGGATGATCCATGTGTAGGGAGGTTAGTAAATCTGGTGTATATAATTATAGCACGGATGATCCATGTGCAGGGAGGTTAGTAAATCTGGTGTATATAATTATAGCATGGATGATCCATGTGCAGGGAGGTTAGTAAATCTGGTGTATATAATTATAGCATGGATGATCCATGTGCAGGGAGGTTAGTAAATCTGGTGTATATAATTATAGCATGGATGATCCATGTGCAGGGAGGTTAGTAAATCTGGTGTATATAATTATAGCATGGATGATCCATGTGCAGGGAGGTTAGTAAATCTGGTGTATATAATTATAGCATGGATGATCCATGTGCAGGGAGGTTAGTAAATCTGGTGTATATAATTATAGCATGGATGATCCATGTGCAGGGAGGTTAGTAAATCTGGTGTATATAATTATAGCATGGATGATCCATGTGCAGGGAGGTTAGTAAATCTGGTGTATATAATTATAGCATGGATGATCCATGTGCAGGGAGGTTAGTAAATCTGGTGTATATAATTATAGCATGGATGATCCATGTGCAGGGAGGTTAGTAAATCTGGTGTATATAATTATAGCATGGATGATCCATGTGCAGGGAGGTTAGTAAATCTGGTGTATATAATTATAGCATGGATGATCCATGTGCAGGGAGGTTAGTAAATCTGGTGTATATAATTATAGCATGGATGATCCATGTGCAGGGAGGTTAGTAAATCTGGTGTATATAATTATAGCATGGATGATCCATGTGCAGGGAGGTTAGTAAATCTGGTGTATATAATTATAGCATGGATGATCCATGTGCAGGGAGGTTAGTAAATCTGGTGTATATAATTATAGCATGGATGATCCATGTGTAGGGAGGTTAGTAAATCTGGTGTATATAATTATAGCATGGATGATCCATGTGTAGGGAGGTTAGTAAATCTGGTGTATATAATTATAGCACGGATAATCCATGTGTAGGGAGGTTAGTAATCTGGTGTATATAATTATAGAATGGATGATCCATGTGCAGGGAGGTTAGTAATCTGGTGTATATAATTATAGTATGGATGATCCATGTGCAGGGAGGTAAGTAAATCTGGTGTATATAATTATAGCATGGATGATCCATGTGCTTGGAGGTAAGTAAATCTGGTATATATAATTATAGCATGGATGATCCATGTGCAGGGAGGTTAGTAATCTGGTATATATAATTATAGCACGGATGATCCATGTGCAGGGAGGTAAGTAAATCTGGTGTATATAATTATTGCATGGATGATCCATGTGCAGTGATTTGCAATTGATATCATATAGATGACAGTACAAGTTGTTTTGAATATTGCTTACAACATTTATTTTCAAATCTATAATCTTTGTATGAGAAATTGCATTTGATATGAGATGTCATTTTCCAACAACCCACTTTACAAATTTGCAAAATCTTTATTTGTGGTCCTCCGTGGCTTATGCGATGTACTGATGCTTTAAAGATTATCCTTTTGTCCTTCTTTCACTTCAGTGATGAGTGAAAATATCTCCCAGCATGTTATATAGACTTATGTAGTTGTGTCAGGTATATTTACCTGGTTTCTCGTTAACCTGTAGATTAGATATCTACCTTGTTGGTATGTCAATAAATGATCGCTGAACAGGTAATAAAGCTGTAAGGATCAGATGGTATCAGTGTTACCTGTCGCTGATATAAACCGAGAGTTATTGTGAAGATACATTACCTTGTTACCTTAAACAAATCTTAAATACACCTAGGTATATGTTTTCATTGTACAAATAGTGTCTGTAGTTAAATATCATCTCTACTTTTCAAGTGTGTTAGTGCAAATATTTTTTTCTGTGGGTTTAGATACAAAGAGAAATTTTGTTTGTTTCCAGTCATGTGAGCTAACACATCTCTCCTGATGGGTTTAACAAGAAATACAGATATGGAATGTTTCAAGTCCACACAGAGCCCATCTTCAAATATCATGCTTGTACATGACGTGTTTTGCCTCGTATATTCTCTAGAGTCCTTAAGTTAATGCATATGTTTTGCTTTATATCTCTGGCTCGTAGGGTTTTCTGAAAAAGTACAAATTTATCTGAATTTATACTATTGCATTATTTTGTTATAGGAAGCCCTTGGGCTGTCCTCCCTGCTCGATGACCTTAACGCCCATGGAGTGAAGCTGTACGGGGTTGTACACCAAACTCTGGGTGTAGAGGAGTTCAAGCCATTTTTCAAAGGGCAAATTTTCTTAGACAATGAGGTATGTCAGAAAAACTGAATGATTTCCATTCCATGGAGTCATACAAGCTACCTGTATGTCTATATATCTGTCAGTGTTCATGCCTTCTTACCAACGTGTTGTATCTATTTGTATTGAGGTCAGTCAGGGCACAGTATTTACATACCTCAGCCTTGATCTGTCTACTGGTCCTGAAGTTCAAGATTGATTAACTTCACTCAGCCTTGATCTGTTTACTGGTCCTAAAGTATAAGATTAATTAACTGAACTCAGCTTTGTTCTGTCTACTGGTCCTAAAGTATAAGATTAATTTACTTAACTCAGCCTTGATCTGTCTTCTGGTCCTAAATTATAAGATTGATTTACTTAACTAAGCCTTGATCTGTCTATACTGGTCCTAAATTTTAAAAGATGGATTTTCTTAACTCAGCCTTGATCTGTTTATACTTGTCCTAAATATAAGATTGATTTACTTAATCAGCTTTGATCTGTTTATACTGGTCCTAAATTATAAGATTGATTTACTTAATCAGCCTTGATCTGTTTATACTGGTCCTAAATTATAAGATTGATTTACTTAATCAGCCTTGATCTGTTTATACTGGTCCTAAATTATAAGATTGATTTACTTAACTAAGCCTTGATCTGTTTATACTGGTCCTAAAGTATAAGATTTATTTACCTAATTCAGCCTTGATCTGTTTATACTGGTCCTAAAGTATAAGATTGATTTACTAAACTCAGCCTTGATCTGTCTACTGTCCTAAAGTGTAACATTAATTTACTAATCAGCCTTGATCTGTCTTCAGGTCCAAAATTATAAGATTGATTTACTTCACTCAGCCTTGATCTGTCTTCTGGTCCTAAATTATAAGATTGATTTACTTAACTAAGCGTTGATCTGTCTATACTGGTCCTAAAGTATAAGATTGATTTACTTAACTAAGCCTTGATCTGTCTATACTGGTCATAAAGTATAAGATTGATTTACTTAACTCAGCCTTGATCTGTTTATACTTGTCCTAAATTATAAGATTGATTTACCTAATTCAGCCTTGATCTGTTTATACTTGTCCTAAAGTATAAGATTGATTTACTTCACTCAGCCTTGATCTGTTTATACTGGTCCTAAAGTATAAGCTTAATTTTAGCAAAACAAATACCATTCCCACATACAAACCCACACATGTTGTTATTTTTTAAATGAATGTACATCCTCCTTCATAATGTGTCCTTTACATTTATACCTGTTTGACATCAACTTCGTGTGGAGCTTTGATACTCTGCATACCCTCGTCAGCTGATATATAAGGGAGGATAGTTAAGGTATGATATATAAGGGAGGGTAGTTAGGGTATGATATATAAGGGAAGGTAGTTAGGGTATGATATAGAAGGGAGGGTAGTTAGGATATGATATATAAGGAAGGGTAGTTAGGGTATGATATATAAGGGAGGATAGTAAGGGTATGATATATAAGGGAGGGTAGTTAGGGTATGATATAAAAGGGAGGATAGTTAGGGTATGACATATAAGGGAGGGTAGTTAGGGTATGATATAGAAGGGAGGGTAGTTAGAGTATGATATAGAAGGGAGGGTAGTTAGGGTATGATATAGAAGGGAGGGTAGTTAGGGTATGATATATAACGGAGGGTAGTTAGGGTATGATATATAAGGAAGGGTAGTTAGGGTATGATATATAAGGGAAGGTAGTTAGGGTATGATATAGAAGGGAGTGTAGTTAGGATATGATATATAAGGAAGGGTAGTTAGGGTATGATATATAAGGGAGGGGAGTTAGGGTATGATATATAAGGGAGGATAGTAAGGGCATGATATATAAGGGAGGGTAGTTAGGGTATGATATAAAAGGGAGGATAGTTAGGGTATGATATATAAGGAAGGATAGTTAGGGTATGATATATAAGGGAGGGGAGTTAGGGGATGATATATAAGGGAGGGTAGTTAGGATATGATATATAAGGAAGGGTAGTTAGGGTATGATATATAAGGGAGGCTAGTTAGGGTATGATATATAAGGGAGGGTCGTTAGGGTATGATATATAAGGGAGGGTAGTAAGGGTATGATATATAAGGGAGGGTAGTTAGGGCATGATATATAAGGGAGGGTAGTTAGGGTATGGTATATAAGGGAGGGTAGTTAGGGTATGATATATAATGGAAGGTAGTTAGGGTATGATATAGAAGGGAGTGTAGTTAGGATATGATATATAAGGAAGGGTAGTTAGGGTATGATATATAAGGGAGGGTCGTTAGGGTATTATATATAAGGGAGGGTAGTTAGGGTATGACATATAAGGGAGGGTAGTGAGGGTATGATATATAAGGGAGGGTAGTTAGGATATGATATATAAGGGAGGGTAGTTAGGATATGATATATAAGGAAGGGTAGTTAGGGTATGATATATAAGGGAAGGTAGTTAGGGTATGATATAGAAGGGAGGGTAGTTAGAGTATGATATAGAAGGGAGGGTAGTTAGGGTATGATATAGAAGGGAGGGTAGTTAGGGTATGATATAGAAGGGAGGGTAGTTAGGATATGATATATAAGGAAGGGTAGTTAGGGTATGATATATAAGGGAGGGTAGTTAGGGTATGATATATAAGGGAGGCTAGTTAGGGTAGACTGACTGTCTATCTGTCGTGTTGTACACTGTTACAGTACTATTGTGGAAAACATCTTCAGGCCATTTTGGAAAGAATGGTTTATTTTGCATAGTTGTAAACCAAATGTTCAATTTTTTTATTTCAGAAAACATTTTATGGTCCAAAAGAAAGATGGATGCCATTGTTTGGTCTATTTCGAGTGAATGTGATACAAAATATAATCCGAGTTTATAGAAAAAAAATCCCTGGCAATATGGATGGTGAGGGACGCTTAATGGGAGGTAAGTAAAGGGATGTTGAAGGTTCAACCTGTAATGGCAGGTAGGTGGTGGGATGTTGAGGGTTCAACCCGTAATGGCAGGTAGGTTGTGGGATGTTGAAGGTTCAACCCGTAATGGCAGGTAGGTTGTGGGATGTTGAAGTTTCAACCCGTAATGGCAGCTAGGTTGAGGGATGGTGAGGGACGCTTAATGGGAGGTAAGTAAAGGGATGTTGAAGGTTCAACACGTAATGGCAGGTAGGTTGTGGGATGTTGGGGGTTCAACACGTAATGTCAGGTAAGTTGTGGAATGGTGGGGACACTAAATGGGTGGTAAGTTGTGGAATGGTGGGGACACTAAATGGGAGATAAGTTGTGGAATGGTGGGGACACTAAATGGGAGATAAGTTGTGGAATGGTGGGGACACTAAATGGGAGATAAGTTGTGGAATGGTGGGGACACTAAATGGGAGATAAGTTGTGGAATGGTGGGGACACTAAATGGGAGATAAGTTGTGGAATGGTGGGGACACTAAATGGGAGATAAGTTGTGGAATGGTGGGGACACTAAATGGGAGATAAGTTGTGGAATGGTGGGGACACTAAATGGGAGATAAGTTGTGGAATGGTGGGGACACTAAATGGGAGGTAAGTTGTGGAATGGTGGGGACACTAAATGGGAGGTAAGTTGTGGAATGGTGGGGACACTAAATGGGAGGTAAGTTGTGGAATGGTGGGGACACTAAATGGGAGGTAAGTTGTGGAATGGTGGGGACACTAAATGGGAGGTAAGTTGTGGAATGGTGGGGACACTAAATGGGAGGTAAGTTGTGGAATGGTGGGGACACTAAATGGGAGGTAAGTTGTGGAATGGTGGGGACACTAAATGGGAGGTAAGTTGTGGAATGGTGGGGACACTAAATGGGAGGTAAGTTGTGGAATGGTGGGGACACTAAATGGGAGGTAAGTTGTGGAATGGTGGGGACACTAAATGGGAGGTAAGTTGTGGAATGGTGGGGACACTAAATGGGAGGTAAGTTGTGGAATGGTGGGGACACTAAATGGGAGGTAAGTTGTGGAATGGTGGGGACACTAAATGGGAGGTAAGTTGTGGAATGGTGGGGACACTAAATGGGAGGTAAGTTGTGGAATGGTGGGGACACTAAATGGGAGGTAAGTTGTGGAATGGTGGGGACACTAAATGGGAGGTAAGTTGTGGAATGGTGGGGACACTAAATGGGAGGTAAGTTGTGGAATGGTGGGGACACTAAATGGGAGGTAAGTTGTGGAATGGTGGGGACACTAAATGGGAGGTAAGTTGTGGAATGGTGGGGACACTAAATGGGAGGTAAGTTGTGGAATGGTGGGGACACTAAATGGGAGGTAAGTTGTGGAATGGTGGGGACACTAAATGGGAGGTAAGTTGTGGAATGGTGGGGACACTAAATGGGAGGTAAGTTGTGGAATGGTGGGGACACTAAATGGGAGGTAAGTTGTGGAATGGTGGGGACACTAAATGGGAGGTAAGTTGTGGAATGGTGGGGACACTAAATGGGAGGTAAGTTGTGGAATGGTGGGGACACTAAATGGGAGGTAAGTTGTGGAATGGTGGGGACACTAAATGGGAGGTAAGTTGTGGAATGGTGGGGACACTAAATGGGAGGTAAGTTGTGGAATGGTGGGGACACTAAATGGGAGGTAAGTTGTGGAATGGTGGGGACACTAAATGGGAGGTAAGTTGTGGAATGGTGGGGACACTAAATGGGAGGTAAGTTGTGGAATGGTGGGGACACTAAATGGGAGGTAAGTTGTGGAATGGTGGGGACACTAAATGGGAGGTAAGTTGTGGAATGGTGGGGACACTAAATGGGAGGTAAGTTGTGGAATGGTGGGGACACTAAATGGGAGGTAAGTTGTGGAATGGTGGGGACACTAAATGGGAGGTAAGTTGTGGAATGGTGGGGACACTAAATGGGAGGTAAGTTGTGGAATGGTGGGGACACTAAATGGGAGGTAAGTTGTGGAATGGTGGGGACACTAAATGGGAGGTAAGTTGTGGAATGGTGGGGACACTAAATGGGAGGTAAGTTGTGGAATGGTGGGGACACTAAATGGGAGGTAAGTTGTGGAATGGTGGGGACACTAAATGGGAGGTAAGTTGTGGAATGGTGGGGACACTAAATGGGAGGTAAGTTGTGGAATGGTGGGGACACTAAATGGGAGGTAAGTTGTGGAATGGTGGGGACACTAAATGGGAGGTAAGTTGTGGAATGGTGGGGACACTAAATGGGAGGTAAGTTGTGGAATGGTGGGGACACTAAATGGGAGGTAAGTTGTGGAATGGTGGGGACACTAAATGGGAGGTAAGTTGTGGAATGGTGGGGACACTAAATGGGAGGTAAGTTGTGGAATGGTGGGGACACTAAATGGGAGGTAAGTTGTGGAATGGTGGGGACACTAAATGGGAGGTAAGTTGTGGAATGGTGGGGACACTAAATGGGAGGTAAGTTGTGGAATGGTGGGGACACTAAATGGGAGGTAAGTTGTGGAATGGTGGGGACACTAAATGGGAGGTAAGTTGTGGAATGGTGGGGACACTAAATGGGAGGTAAGTTGTGGAATGGTGGGGACACTAAATGGGAGGTAAGTTGTGGAATGGTGGGGACACTAAATGGGAGGTAAGTTGTGGAATGGTGGGGACACTAAATGGGAGGTAAGTTGTGGAATGGTGGGGACACTAAATGGGAGGTAAGTTGTGGAATGGTGGGGACACTAAATGGGAGGTAAGTTGTGGAATGGTGGGGACACTAAATGGGAGGTAAGTTGTGGAATGGTGGGGACACTAAATGGGAGGTAAGTTGTGGAATGGTGGGGACACTAAATGGGAGGTAAGTTGTGGAATGGTGGGGACACTAAATGGGAGGTAAGTTGTGGAATGGTGGGGACACTAAATGGGAGGTAAGTTGTGGAATGGTGGGGACACTAAATGGGAGGTAAGTTGTGGAATGGTGGGGACACTAAATGGGAGGTAAGTTGTGGAATGGTGGGGACACTAAATGGGAGGTAAGTTGTGGAATGGTGGGGACACTAAATGGGAGGTAAGTTGTGGAATGGTGGGGACACTAAATGGGAGGTAAGTTGTGGAATGGTGGGGACACTAAATGGGAGGTAAGTTGTGGAATGGTGGGGACACTAAATGGGAGGTAAGTTGTGGAATGGTGGGGACACTAAATGGGAGGTAAGTTGTGGAATGGTGGGGACACTAAATGGGAGGTAAGTTGTGGAATGGTGGGGACACTAAATGGGAGGTAAGTTGTGGAATGGTGGGGACACTAAATGGGAGGTAAGTTGTGGAATGGTGGGGACACTAAATGGGAGGTAAGTTGTGGAATGGTGGGGACACTAAATGGGAGGTAAGTTGTGGAATGGTGGGGACACTAAATGGGAGGTAAGTTGTGGAATGGTGGGGACACTAAATGGGAGGTAAGTTGTGGAATGGTGGGGACACTAAATGGGAGATAAGTTGTGGAATGGTGGGGACACTAAATGGGAGATAAGTTGTGGAATGGTGGGGACACTAAATGGGAGATAAGTTGTGGAATGGTGGGGACACTAAAAGGGAGATAAGTTGTGGAATGGTGGGGACACTAAAAGGGAGAAAAGTTGTGGAATAGTGGGGACACTAAATGGGAGATAAGTTGTGGAATGGTGGGGACACTAAAAGGGAGATAAGTTGTTGAATGGTGGGGACACTAAAAGGGAGGTAAGTTGTGGAATGGTGGGGACACTAAATGGGAGATAAGTTGTGGAATAGTGGGGACACTTAATGGGAGGTAAGTTGTGGAATGGTGGGGGACACTAAATGGGAGGTAAGATGTGGAATGGTGGGGACACTAAAAGGGAGATAAGTTGTGGGAGTCGGGAGGTGCCAGATGAGAGTTGTGAAGGTTTTTTACTGTCAATTATACATAAATAGTATGAAACTGTCTGTTTATACTTGTCTATTTTTTACATCTTTTTGTTGAAGTGTCTGAGTAATGATTGTTGGCTGTAAAACAGAGCATGATTATCACGTTACAGGTGTGTTTGTCAGTCACAGGTAAAAGAGAGCGTGATTACCACATTGCAGGTGTGTTTTGTCAGTCACAGGTAAAACAGAGCGTGATTATCTCGTAACAGGTGTGTTTGTTAGTCACAGGTAAAACAGAGCGTGATTATCTCGTTACAGGTGTGTTTTGTCAGTCACAGGTAAAACAGAGCGTGATTATCTCGTTACAGGTGTGTTTGTTAGTCACAGGTAAAACAGAGCGTGATTATCTCGTTACAGGTGTGTTTGTCATCGGGCCAGGTAACCAGGGTATCCTTTACCAACACCAGGAGCAAGAGTTCGGAGATATTGCGGATCTCGAGGAAGTGCTTAAGGCCATCAGAAACATCAAAATACCCACCTCCAATCTATAAATCCCTCCTGTTTTAATTGAAGAATTTTTACTTAATCACCATTATGTCATAGAAAATATCACCAAAGACCCATACCTGAGTATCACCCAAGACCCATACCTGAGTATCACCCAAGACCCATACCTGAGTATCACCCAAGACCCATACCTGAGTATTCAGCTTCTGGAAATATTTTAATAAGTGTCACATCTGTTAACCAATCAAATCAAAAGTTACCTTTGGCTTTCAGTAAGATGTTGTGTGCTATACTGCATATTAATTATCATATTAACAATAACTTGACCATGAGAATCAGTTTTCTGTGACATAGAAATAGACAGCTTCTTTCAGTTCACATGACAGGTACATAACTTCTAGATGGAGCAGATTATTGATTGCAACAGATAAACAGATAAAACAAAAACAAAAATCCTAAGCATGTTTACAAAGCAGATGTCTAACAGTGTTGACCAGGGTAAATATACATTCTAAACTGTTAAGCTATGTACACTAAGGGAAATAACTCAGGTGTAACTGCACCGATGCAGATTGGGTTAGGAACAAAGTTAAAATATTTATTGTACTTTTTGCTGGAAATGTAAGAATTATTCTGTGTAATTGAATATTGCTAATATATATGAAGCTGTGGTTTTCATTATCCTGTATTGTAATTATGAACTTGTTCATGGCAACAATGAACCTGTTATTGGTCTGTGTTAGATGTTCTAGCAGCTGTACTGCGAGCTGGAAACACACAATTTGGTTCACGTATAAGTGATATGTGTGACTCCCCCGTTCGAGTGAAAAAATCACCATGACACCGAAATTTCCAAGCTTAAATACAAAATAACTGTAGATTATGTGAAATACTACAAAGTATTTGTCTTTATTTTTCATAAAAGTCCCATTACCATTAAAGTTTTAACTGTTTTTCATTATTATAGAAAATATTTACTGATTGGAAAATATTGTTTGCCGAAGTATAACAACTTTCATAATTTGTGTGTTATTTCTTATTTTTTATTTTACTTGTAACACTGTTTTTATGATAAATAGTCATTGTACTTATACTATGGTGAGGTGGCCATCGTCCATCTGTCTATCCAGCGTAAACTTTATACTTCAAACAACTTCTTGATGACCAGGAGGCCTAGGGTCATGATATTTGGCCAATAACTCGCTGGGATGAAGGACTATCAATTTTGTTTAAATGAATGACCTTCATTCATATTCAAGGTCACAAGGGTCAAATGGAGTGAAAATCTTTAAACAAATTCTGAATAACCAAAAGGCCTAGAGTGTTTATATTTGCATGGTCAGTATCATGCTGGGACGAAAGACAGCATCAAATTGGTCAAATAAAGACCTTCACCCTTATTCAAGGTCACAGGGGTCAGATGTGTTGAAACCTTTTAAACAACTTCTGAATAACCAAAAGGCCAATAGTGATGATATTTGACCAGTAGCAGGCTGGGATGAATGTCTATCAAGTTTGTTCGAATGAACAGGGGTCTAATGTATATTCCAAGTTTCAAGCATATATATATGTATGCAGTACAATTACATGAAACATAATATATGTATATTTGTACATTAATATAGTGGAGAGTTAACATTAAACCAGTAAATAAAGTAGTTGAGACCTTTTTCTTGTTAAATAAATCTTCGACCTCGTGTCAATCACCAAAAGGCCCAGGGTGATGATATTTGGCCAGGAGCATGCAGGGATAAAGGGCTAGCAAGTTTGTTATGACCTCTTAGAGTTTCAAGGTCTCTTTATTCAAATGTTTTGAAATATATTAACAGGTTCTTCTCTTGAATGAGTAGGAGTCATAGGTAATGAAATTTAGCCTGTAAGTTTACTTAGTCCCTTTAAATACATGTGAACTTGGTCCACTTTTAAGGTTACAAGTGTAAGATTAATACCAAGTGAGTGATGCAGGCCCATTGGGCCTCTTGTTACATGGTATATTATGGTACATTACTGAAGTGTGACATATTACTGTAATATTTATGTAAATCCATTTTCATTCCGTACTTATCTGTTTGCTTTGAATCAATGAATGAAAGAATGTAAATGTAAAATGTCCGTGTATCTGGACCACAGTGTGTTTGACTTCCGGGTAAAGTAAACTGGTTCTGTTCTGTTCAGTGAAAACAGAAATGTTGTTACCAGTTGTAATTGTTTATAGCAGATTTTATTAGTTGTTTTGAAATTGCCAAAGTACGTAGTTGACATGATAAGGATGTTATTTATTTCCATGTGATGATGCTTGTGTAAGATGGGTATTTCGGTGAAAAGTTTTTCTTCAGAAGAATCATCACAATTGCCATTACTTATTTAGCCAAGAATAAAGATGGAAGATTTCTCAAACCAGATTCTAATGGATATAGCTCTATCTATATTTAGAGGTCAGAGTTTAGTCATATCAGTTTGTTTATATTTGGCAAAGCTTTAATAATTTAATATCTGAAACGGATTCTAAAGTTGTATGTATTGTTTAAGAGGACCTGCCCTTTGTATTATCAGGGCCCAGTTGTTCAAAAGGCGATTAGCTTAATCACTGTTTAACCCTTTTACCCCTACCCATGCATTTATCTGGATGAGTCCATTATGGTCTACAGTGGTGAAAGGGTTAACGACATTTTTTCAACTCTAATAATTTGGTCAACACACAAGGTAAAAGCTTGTAATTTTGCATGTAGGTTACTCTTCTAAAATATTTATAACTATTTCATGTAATATGAAATCGTTTACTTTATAGTCAGAAAATAACATGGTTCAGCTCTGTCACTCGGTTAAAAAGATAACCCGAGTTACCTCCAGTAGAAAACAGCGCAGTGTAATATTCGGGGTAATACCGATTTATCTCCCCTTTTTAATTCATTGAAATTCCAGATCAGGCAAGTGAAGTTGGTCATGCAGAATCTATGAATTTTTCTAAAATATTTGCTATCTCAAAAGTTTAAACTCGGTTAATAGCTGTGTTTTTAAGATATACAAAAAATAAAATTTGCGCTAATCACTGATTAAGCTAATCACTGTTTGAACAACTGGGCCCAGGTCACTGATACAACACCATATGGTTAATTTGTATCCAAAACACTCCTTATATTAATGTATTTTTTTCTCCAAATTTATATATATATATATTTTTTTAAGTTGTCCACAAGATAGAATGAAGCATTTCCTTGCATTGACCTTAATAATCAGGCTTAATGAAGTCTGATACTGAAATCTAGCTGACCAGTATTGGATGGAGAATCTCTCCTGATGTGTTACCTCAATGTAGGAACCGGTGCTTCACTCTGAACTGGATGAAAGATATTGTTTTTCTTATTCTGATTGTTAAAACAAGAAAAAAGTGAATGAATGTCTGATATATAATTACATGACAAAAGACGATTAAATAAAATAAAAATAAAAATTTGTTTGGAGTTTTTATTCCAGGGACAAAAACATTAATTCATATACAATTATAATCTCATGTAAAGATTATAATAAGGGCCCTGTATCGGAGATACGGGTGCCCTATAGTAATCACTCTGTCTGTCTGTTTGTCCGTCCGTCGACAAATTTTGTTCCTGGCTGATAACTTTGGTATTTATTGACCGATGTACATGAAACTTGGTCAAGATGTTCAGTTCACAAAAATACATATTGAGGTAAAAAGTCAAGGTCAAAGGTCATGGTCATTAGGTTCAAAGGTCAAGGTCAAATTTTGCATCTTTTCACTTATGAATATTTTGTTATGACATGATGAAGCAGAGTTGATCAGAATTAAACAAGGAGTCAACCTGACGAAATGTCAAGGTAATTGGGTCAAAGGTCAAGGTTAAATTTTGTATCTTTTCACTGGTTAACATTTTGGTATGACACTTTGAAGCAATGTTGCTCAGAATTTAAAAAGGAGTCAACTGACTTAAGGTCAAGGTCATTTTATGTTATTATGTAGCAAACTTGTTCAGAACTTAACACAGAGTCAATCGACTTTAGGTCCAGGTTAAGGGGTCCAAAGGGTCAAGGTCAAGTTTTGTATTTTTCACTGATGAACATTTTGTTATGATATTATAAAGCAGAGTTGGTCGGAATTAAAGAATAAGTCAACTTACCAAAGATCAGGGTCACTGGGTTAATGGTCAAGGTCATTTGGGTCCAAAGGTCAAAGACAAAGTGGATCTCTGACTTTGACCCTGGCTCTTGATGGAGGAGGTATATAAGGTGAAATAAAACAAATCAAAGCTAACAAATGAGTATTGCACCGGTATTTACGTTTCTGTTAGCCCAGCAAATATGGAGGTGGAAGGAAACAGGACTCACATCATAGTACATGTAAAATGTATATATTGCTTCCTTGCGATTCTTTTTGAAGTCCAAATGTCAAACGTCAAGCTAAGCTATATGGGCAGATTGCTTCTTGATGATTATGGGGGATATATTGCCACAAGACGGGCCCTTACTGACCTGTCAGTGTTCTAGTTTCAGTGTATTTCTATTTTTGACTTTTTTTTTAATTAATAACCTCTCCTGCATTAATAAAAACAAAAATGACAATTCTGAGCATTCTTCGAAGAGATGATAACCTTACAAGTGCATTGTCCTGTACTTCCTGACCTCTGCATTACAATGCCTTGTTGTGTACTTTATGGCCTCAACATTTCAGTGCCTTGTTGTGTACTTCCTGGCCTCAACATTACAGTGCCTTGTTGTATACTTCCTGGCCTCAACATTACAGTGCCTTGTTGTGTACTTCCTGGCCTCAACATTACAGTGCCTTGTTGTGTACTTCCTGGCCTCAACATTACAGTGCCTTGTTGTGTACTTCCT